TCTTACACGCCGACAAACAGTTGTGGGTGTAGTTACAGATAGCAAGCATATTTTACCTGTTCCCTTCTTCCTCCATGCCTCTTTATTAATAATCGCGGTGAGTACGTTTCGATAATGGCATTACATTATGTCGTAACAACAACTTTATATGTACTTTATATTCCTCTTGAGAGAGGCCGACAATGCGTGCGCAATCGGCGCAGCTTATGGAAATGTTATTCTATGCTAAATAGTCCTGTTCGTTGGTATAAATTCCTGCGTTGGGCCAGCTACGCGACCATAAGTACCTACGTAAGATTAAAATATTTTGGTATAAGGTAGAATACTAATTGTCTGATGGAAATGTCAGAAATCCAGTCTACGAATAAAAATGTAGTAGAAAAGTTTTTTTTATGTGAAAATGAATTATGTTGACCATAAAAATATATAAGGTAAATTAAAGATGTAAAGAAATAAATATTGCAGTTGAAACATCAACAATTCTTGAAGTGTACCACGAGGACACCAAACGGGACTCCAAACAATTGATACATATTATTTTTTCTACAGGAATATGTTCATCAAATGTAACAGGAAGGTCAGTAAATTGCGTAATAGACCAGGACGAATCTGTGAAAATATCCTAATTCTTGTAAGAGAGGGCAAGCTAATTTTTGCTGGAATACCTTCAGTACAACTCGCATAATAAAAGTGTAGATCCCTAGATCTGGGGGAGGTCCGGAACATATTCAAAATTGCAAAATTGTTTAAAAAAAAATTTAAAAATACCTATTTTATCTGAGTTTTTTACTTATATCTTGGAATCTATGCATTTTGGAAGAATATTGAAGAGGAAAAAAAGTTTTAGAATTGAATTTTGCACAACATACTGTAGATTAAAAATGTTTAAATTTATTACCGATGTTGCAAAATTTGATGAAAAAAAGACAAAATAGTCGTTTTTTGGATAATTTTTTTAAAAGATTTTAATTACTCCGAGGGCATTCTAATTTTGGTAAAAAAAACTTCAGAGTATAATAAATCAACACACCAAATTTCTTTAAAATCGGTTCTGTAGTTTTCGCAGTCATTTTTTGAAAAAAAAAAAATTTGAGAAAAATATGTTCGAATTTTCAAAATGTTGCCTCAAATAAAGGATCTAGATACTTGAAAATTTTTTCACATAGAAAAGACCGCTCGACCTTTCAAATGGTTTTTGAAAAATTGAAATCGGTTTATTAGGACTGCCACAGTAAATTTTTAAAGCTAACACTGTTTTTTTTTATTTTTAAACAATTAGATTACATTTATCAATTTGCAATTTAGTTTTTTCAAAAATTATAATTTTAAAGTACTCGGAAATACACTTCCCTAAAAAAAATAAAAAGTTAAATTCCGTTTATTGGTTCTCGAGATATAAAAGGTCAAATTTTATCGGCATTTACCGTTAATTTATAAACAATTTAACAATATCTTTGATACAATGGTTTCGTTTTTCCGAGTTCTAAGCTCACGAAACATACGAAAAATGCAGGGGGGAGGGGCTTTCGCTCCGATACTGAATTCGGAGGTTCAAAATGCGAAGGTACGAAAAAAATTGCATTATCACGGCTTTTAATAGACTAATTTCGATCTTCTCTAATTTGCACATATTTGGTCATAAACAAAGTTTATTATTTATGCATTAAATATACTGTATATTTTACCCTATGCTATTGCATTTTTTCAATGAAAAAATTTGTTTATGTTTATATAGGTAACTTTATAATAATNGAGCAAGTGGTTTCTCTTCTGCTTTCTTCTTCCTCCTCTTCTTTTATTCTTTCGTCTTCATCTTCTTTGCGTCTTTCTTCTTCCTCTTCTTTCGGTTTCTTTTTCATCCATGCTTAACCCATTTGGGCTCTTGAAACTTAAATTCCAATCTCCCTTTTTTGATAATAAAATGTGTTAATTTCAAGCAAAGATTTCTCATTTTGTAATTACAAACGACAGTAAATTGCTATATTAATAAAAACAGCATTTCATTAAATGAAAATAAATTAAATGAAATACTTTTTTCTCGATTTCAAACAGGAAAAGTAAACAGAAAATTGGTTAGTTGTCTCAATTTTTAGACATCCAATTCAAAATACAAGATTACAAGATATTTAATTAATTATCATCAACTTGTCCAAATCACGAGCCAACCGGCCAACTCCACCCTTGTTTAATGCAAAAGCTGTGAGGTAGTACACGCGCTTGAGCGCGAGCTGTCAGTCTTACACGCCGACAAACAGTTGTGGGTGTAGTTACAGATAGCAAGCATATTTTACCTGTTCCCTTCTTCCTCCATGCCTCTTTATTAATAATCGCGGTGAGTACGTTTCGATAATGGCATTACATTATGTCGTAACAACAACTTTATATGTACTTTATATTCCTCTTGAGAGAGGCCGACAATGCGTGCGCAATCGGCGCAGCTTATGGAAATGTTATTCTATGCTAAATAGTCCTGCTCGTTGGTATAAATTCCTGCGTTGGGCCAGCTACGCGACCATAAGTGCCTACGTAAGATTTAAAATATTTTGGTATAAGGTAGAATACTAATTGTCTGATGGAAATGTCAGAAATCCAGTCTACGAATAAAAATGTAGTAGAAAAGTTGATTTTTGTATGTGAAAATGAATCATGTTGACCCTAAAAATATATAAGGTAAATTAAAGATGTAAAGAAATAAATATTGCAGTTGAAACATCAACAATTCTTGAAGTGTACCACGAGGACACCAAACGGGACTCCAAAGAATTGATACATATTCTTTTTTCTACAGGAATATGTTCATCAAATGTAACAGGAAGGTCAGTAAATTGCGTAATAGACCAGGACGAATCTGTCAAAATATCCTAATTCTTCTGAGAGAGGGCAAGTTAATTTTTGCTGGAATACCTTCAGTACAATTCGCATAATAAAAGTGTAGATCCCTAGATCTGGGCGAGGTCCGGAACATATTCAAAATTGCAAAATTGTTTAAAAAAAATTAAAAAGTACCTATTTTATCTGAGTTTTTTACTTATATCTTGGAATCTATGCATTTTGGAAGAATATTGAAGAGGAAAAAAAGTTTTAGAATTGAATTTTGCACAACATACTGTAGGTTAAAAATGTTTAAATTTATTATCGATGTTGCAAAATTTGATGAAAAAAAGACAAAATAATCAAGTTTTTTGGATAATTTTTTTAAAAGATTTTAATTACTCCGAGGGCATTCTAATTTTGGTAAAATTAAAAAAATTAAATTGTAAAAAACATTTTTGCAATTTTGAAAATGTTCCGGACCTCGCCCAGATCTAGGGATCTACACTTTTACTATATGAGTTGTACTGAAGGTAATCCAGAAAAAATTTCCTTGCTTCCTCTCACATCCACCTCAAAACAGATCCACCCTTTCTATTCTATTCTATTTAAAAAAGATTCGCCAATTTTATAATCAAAATTCAAGGTAGTTTAGCCACAACTGTAGGGCATAATTTTACATTTTTGAGATTATTATGTTCAATATTCAGTAAGATCATTAATACAAATAACAAACAACAGTAGCTCCATAATTGACCCTCGTGGAACCTCTGAGGATTGACGAAATTTATCTGATTGGAAGACACGACTCTACAACTTTTTCTTTTCTTTATTCTAATGTATTCCATCAAGTATTGAACCTACAGCACTTATACTGAGAACTCCATGTATTTACGATACAGTACCAAAAAGAATCGTCAATTTTGGTCACACTTCTCTACCCGATTTTATCTTTTTAATCCTGTTAATCTCTATATGCGCCACTGAATCGCGTTCGCAGGAGCATTAACTGTAAAAGACAGATGCATTGTTATGAATATCTTGCGGTAGGAATTATGCACAATCTCGCGAGCTAGTCAAATATGAGGATACTAATGACTGGAGTGTAAGCTTTCTCAAAAATATAGCTGTATTTTCCGCGTCGTCGCATGCCTGCTTTATGGCATTGTTGGGGCTTTAGGATTTCTAATGAAACAATAAATAACGTCGCGGTTCAGTGACTACTACCGCAGTAGATGATCGTTAATATGAAAATAAAACTGAAAAATTTCTAGATTAAGTTGGGTACTTCCCAGTCGGCAGTTGGTGTGGAACGCATTATCTGCCTCTACATAAGGAAATCGTTACCCTGTAATGGGAGGAATTCGTGGTGATTACCAATTAATTATGCGACTGGTGAACCGAAATTGCGTAACTGGATGTTTATCTTGAAGATGCTGTCAGTAGTATCGAGTCAAAAAATTACCAAATACTTTTGTCCAGGTAATGAAAGTTAATTAAATTTAATCAAACATGCCTCAGGGTTCAGTTCAGCCTACTGTTCTTTTATTCATTTCATCAATGACGTGGCGAGTACCAAGTCGGTCGGGGTTAATCCATCTGATAGCGTCTTCTTGCAAGAGCATCGTTTTCTCCTGACAAAAGTAAGTTCAAACCATATCAATTCTTTCTTGATCCGTATACATGTTTTTCATAATGTCACACACTCTCCGTTACCCTTCACAAGCATTTGGATTGGATTCTGCTTAAATTTAAACAGTGCAGGGTGTACCGTTCTTCATTTGGCTGTGGGTAAATAATAATAAACAACGGTAACATAAATTATACTTTTTCTGTAATTACTTATAATCCAGAATTTCAGTAAATATTCTAGGGAACATGACTTGAAACTGACTTCTGCTTAAAGATGTATACACATTGTTTAAGCGTATATGCAAATGAAATAGAAAGGAAACGAGTGCAGGTACATACGAATAATCACAAAACAGACGATATCGAAAGTCGATACTTGCTTTGCCTATTATCAATGCGCAATATCAGTCGCAATGTTTATATTAAACATTTAAGCAGTAACTTGTAGGTATATCATATAACTTATTAAATCGCTGATTTTCTTGGGGATATTGATGTAAGCGACGTACAGCTACAAATTGGTAGAAATCACCTAATCAAAATATTGTTTGTTACAGAGCGGAGACCGTCTGTATGTTGGAGCACCAGGAAGTTACTTCTGGCAAGGTAGTACCTTATTTTTTAACTCCTGTTAAACTACTAGCTTGTAGTTATTATAGTGCGTAGATTATTCTATACAGTACTATGTCGGAATGTACTCTGTTTCAGGACAATTGTATTCCATAGACGCTCACGCCAGATTTAATTTTACCCCTGGAATTTATGGATATAGGGGATACGGCGCCAAAGGTATTTTATGCAAAAGGGCAAACTGAAAACCTAATCCCTCACAAATTTAACCAAATTTAATATGTAACCGATTACCGGTGCAGGAGGATTAAAACAAACTTACTAAATAGTGTAATCCAGTTCAGTTATAACTAATTGCTTTAATACATATTAACTAAATTGTAACAATATTTATTTCGCTGGAATAAAATTAGGACTATATTAAGTCTATCTAAAATTGGTCAGTCAAATCCAACATTTTATTCAGAAATCTTTAGACAAAGACTTTATATGAAATTATCGCTTCAAATCCATATCAAGAAATCTAATCCAAGTTTTAACAAAAAATAATACTCAACATTCACTTCATCATATTCATATGCCTATGCTGTAAAAATGTGGATAAATAAAATGTTCGCTACCTACTTTTGCTTCGAGAATGAAATTATTTGGGCATTGATTTAAACAAGAATTTCATTCTTCCGGTGCAAATTCATTGCTTACTGAAAGTAATTATTTCTAATTTTTACGCTTCGTTTAGTATACAGAGTGTTTGGTGTAAGAACCGACACAGAGCAGGCGCATGTAGGGGAACCCAAAATATGACGATTTAACGCAACTTACCTTTATACTAAACCGCACTCCTGAAAAGTTACGACCTTAAAAGTGGAGTTTCTTTGGAAAAAAAATCTATATCTCGTTATACTTGAAGTTAGAAAAATCAAATTTGGTACAGGTTGTGATTGTACCAAGAGCATTAATCAACAGTAAGTAGAATGTTCGGATTGGTGTTATCGATTGATATTTAATAGGCCCAATTTTTTTACCGAATCGACTAAATGGCGAAACTTATTTAGAAATTCTCCAAAATACTCTCCTGGATTTACTTGACGAGATGTCACTACAACTTAGACTGGAACATTGGTTTATGCAATGGAGCTCAACAAATATGACTTCTTTCTTTGGGGAACGTTAAAAAAATTTGTGTATTCCTCGCCAGTTGTGTCTTGATCAGAATTGTGGAATCAGATTACGGACAAATGCACATTCATTGGAAACAATCAGCAGTTATTGGATAAAGTTGACTCAAATTTTCGACGAAATCAGTTTATGCCCGAGACAAAACCGTGATCATTTTGAACAATTTCAACTTATCAGTGCAACTTGTACAGGGTGAGTCAACGATTGGTTAAAGTAGATTTACTCCGAATTTTAAAGTTTATTAAAAAACAATTTCTACAGGGTGATAAGTACGCTAACAGGACACATTTTAAAAATATTTTAAAATATACAGGGTGCACCAAAAATTTGTGGCAGACCAAACTTACATTTTTTTAAATGGAACACCCTGTATTTTACAACATTTTTAGATTCTACGTTTAATTTGAAACATTTTGATATAAAGTTTCCTATATCTAAATTTAATAGTTTCTGAAATAATTGGAACTAAATAAAAAATATTGCATTTTTCTACCTGTATTTAACAGTAGCTATCCTCGTTATTTTTAAGAATTAAAACAAGATTTTTGGTACCGTGTTACTGTAAAGGTGGCTTGAGAACGTCATGGATTCAAATTTTGATTAGCACCTACAGGGTGTTCGTAAAATAATGACAGATTTGAAGAAGTTTAAACTAAAAAATCTTAATTTTTTTAAATGGAACACCCTGTATATTTTTCAATATTCCTTTAGATCTTTTAAAAACTAACAACTTTTGTTAACCATGTCCTATACCTATACTCAATACTTCTGGAGATATTCGCTTAACA